AATTAAATCTTTATACTTAAAAATACTATTAATATTATTTTTAAAATAAAAAGATTTCGAATATAAGTATATTAACTCGAATTTTAATTTACTCGATTAAATATAATATATATATATTATTATACTTAAGTAACTTAAACTTATTATTAATTAAAAAAATACTTATTTTAATATTATTTATTAGTAATATATTATTTAATCTTAGAAAATCGAATTTTTAATTAAAGTCGATATAAAAATACTATTTACTTATATTATATTTATTATCTAAATCTAGATTTTCTAATAATTAAATATTATACTTTTTCTTATTAATTTTAAAAATAAAATCTTATATAAAATCTTTTAATTTTAAATCGAATTATAAATAAAGCTTAAATTTCGAAGAATATAAGATATAAAAGATATATTTATAACTTCTTTAATCGTTATACTCTAAAATATAACTAATATTATTTTCGAAGTAAAATAATATTAAGTAATAAGTATTATAATTAAATCGAAGTAATATTATAGCGTTTAATTCTATCGACTTTACGATAAAAATAATATTTAAATAATCGAATTTAATTATTATAAAATAGAATTATAAGAATATAATAAGAAATAATAATAGAGTTACTTTAATTTTAGCTATTATATTTATATAATAAATAGTATATATAAGATAAGATAAATCGTCTACTAGTATCTTCTCTTAATTAAATTCGAAGACTTTATAAAATTATTATTAGTATATATAATAGAATAAGGTAGAGCTAAGCTTGAAAATCTTAAATTTATATATATAGTTAATTATTAATTTAGAGTTACTACGCTCTTTAATTAGACCGACTAAATTAGCTCGATAGTTCTCTCATATTTTCTTATCAAAAATTTATATATAAAAGTCTTATATTTTAAAGTACTTAGCTTGCGATAGATATAGTTACTTCATAATTCCTCAAATTATAAAGCTCGCTTTACGCTTTCTAACGCTATAAAAATAATAAAGTTTAGCTTATTATTAATGAATTAAACTAATATTTAAATATTATAATTATATTAAACGCGTTCGAAATCGAATAATAATTCTTTTATCTATTTATATAATTATTATTCTTTTACTACTCTATTAATCTATTAATTTTATTAATATAAATATAATCGTTCTCGATACCCCTCGCGGAAACGTTATTAAACGCTTTAGATACGTATACTTCTTTTACTCGCCTCTTAGAGCCCCTACTAACGCCCTTAAACTATCTCTTAGCAAATTCGCTATTATTAATAATCGAGGCCATAAACGAGTTTAATAGTTATCTACTATTGCTTATAAACGCGCTAAAAGGCCCTTTAAAAGAGCTTAAATAAATATATTCTTCTCTATATACTCCTCTTAAGCCAGCGATAATATTTTTTAATTTAGCGATACTATCTCTTAAGACGCGTCTTTCTCCTTTATCTATTCTTTATTATTCTATTTTAAAGCCTCTTAATAGAGCCTAAACGAATTTATAGTTATTATCCTTCTCTATATACTTCTCTTAAGCTAGCGATACTCGAGTAGTCGCTTAATTAATATTATCTACTTTATTAGCTTAGTAATCTACTTAGTTAGCTACTTAACTAGTTACTTAATTTAATACTCTATAAAAGAAGAAGTAAGAGAAGAAACTATAATAGATAAATGCGGAGAATACTACGGAGAATACTATAAAGAATACTACGGAGAAATTAAGCGATAATAAGACTATTATCGTTAAGAATACGGCTTAGCTCTCTAAGATCTTACGTTATATACTCTTTACGATTTTATATTAAATTATTATTTAGTAAGCGAAGAATACTATTATAACTTAATCTGTTATTTCTATTATATTAATATAATATATTATTATAATAACGTTATAAGAGAAGAATCTACTATAACGATTATAGTTAATTAAGCCTCTATAGAAGAAATATCGTAAGAGAAGAAATTATAATAGATAAATGCGAAGAATATTGCGGAGAATATTACGGAGAATATTACGAAGAAACTAAGTAATAATAAGACTATTATCGTTAAGAACACGGCTTAACTCTTTAAGATCTTACGTTATATACTCTTTACGATTCTATATTAAATTATTACTTAGTAAGCGAAGAATATTACTATAATTTAGTCTATTATCTCTATTATATTAATATAATATATTACTATAATAACGTTATAAGAGAAGAATCTACTACGATAATTATAGTTAATTAGATCTCTATAGAAGAAATATCAAATGATATATATTTAAATGAATTGAAATCGTTCGATGTCTATAGCTATTTTATTATTCGAAAAATTTCACTACGATAGAAGATATTATGGAATTTATATTATTAATTAATACGTTATCTTTATTTCTTTCTAGTATTTCGATAATTTTACTTCTTACTATAAGAATATAATCTTTCTCTATTTTTTATAGATAATTATTATAGATTAATTCTTTATACTTAATATACCTTTCTAATTAGATCTTAGCGCGCCTCTCTTCACATATATATATCTATATACTATATAGATTAAATTAATTTTATAGTAGTAAAAGTAGATTAAAAACGTACAGTAAGCGATTAGAGTTCGATTTGACTTAGAGCTAGGGCTAAAATTTCATTTCACTTAGAAAAATCTAACTCCATAAATTTAATTCATAGGTCTTTACTTGTCTTTATATACTCTAATAAATATATTTTAGAAGATAAATAACTTTATAATATATAGAATAATTTAACGTAGCGAGTTATTAGAATAAAGCTTTATACGTTTAATAAAGATATTAAACGAAGATAGAGTCTCTATTAATAAATCTAGAAAAGATAATATCTTTACTAGAAATATTTAATTATTAAATTAGCCTTTCTATCTATCGCATTTAAATCTTAAAGAATAGTCTCTATCTTAAAGAAGCTAGTAAGTAAGAATTTATATAAATTAAGAGCGAAGTAGATAATATATAGAATTATTTAATATATTCGTTAGAATTATATATTACTAGTTATAAAGTATTCGTCTTCTTAAATATACTAGTTTTATAAAATAAAAAGATATAGCGAATAATAGTAGTATCTTAAATTTATTAAAATAATCTTAATTTCTATAATTTTAAAAATATATAAACTTATTCTACGAATTAAAAAAGTAATTAACGATTATTAACTCTTATCTATATATATCGATCTTTCTTATTTACCTTCTCGCTACGTTTAGTATTTCGCCTTAAACTTTCGTAGTAATTTCTATACATTTTCTAACTCGCGTTTAAGCAGCTATATCTTCTTTTAGCACATCTTATATTTATAGCCCTTTCCCCTTTATCTCTTATCAACGATCCTTATAATCTCCCACTCCTCTTTATTTAATACTGAACTTTCTTAGTTCTAAGACTACTCGGGAAGAGATAGGGTAACGATAATGGCGTATTAGCGTGTGCAGAAAACGTTGGAATACTTGGCACTGAGAAAATCACACACACACCACCAAAAGTAGTACTGAATAGATGAATCTTCTCCCATATCGCATTCTACCACCTTCCTCATCATATTTGAAGCTCCTATATATCTCGCTTAGCCAATTCCTATTGTTTCGAAATGCCCCTCGCAACGATCGATAGAAGGGGCTTACCTCTTTAGCCAAAGGCTTTAAGACAGACTTAAAGGTATTCAAGCCTCAATGGCGACAGGCGAAGGCCTTAATGACTCTAAGGCAGTAGCAGCAGCAGCAAATGTAGTTTAGTCTTCAAAATCTATCTGAATATCGCACTCATTAAGAGCCCTATTTAACTCCCTCATATCCGCCTTAAAGATATAACCTCCCATAGTACTATGCTTAAAATACTCCCTCGAAAAGCAATCACACCGACTCCTCCTCACGACATATCGTAAGAAATCACCAAAGTTCCCTTTAAACTGAGGCCATACCTCATGAAAGTGTCTTCGAACCTATACCTTCAAGACGCTGAAAGAGAGCTCGATAGAATTAAAATCTGGTGAGTAGGGAGGCAGATATCGGACCTCGCAACCATGCTGACGGCCTATCGAGCTTATACGTCTTCCAGGGCCGCACGTTCACGGGCGGCTTTGGCACGAGGGCCTTCAGGTCTGGGAGTGGGGGTAGCTGCGCTTGACTGACTGTTGCTAGGGCCCGGCTGGCTATCCTCAGCAATCGCTAGGCACGAGAGGACGCCTTCTTAGGCCTCTTAAACTGTCTGGCCGATGGGGAGCTCGGTAGTAAAAGGGGAGGCCCCTGACTGCGTCGATTGGGAGGCATTTCGAAACACTAAGATAAAACACCAAGGATCGGCTAAGCGAGATATATAGGAGCTTCAAATATGATAAGGAAGGTGGTAGAATGCGATATAGGAGAAGATTCATCTATTCAGTACTACTTTTGGTGGTGTGTGTGTGATTTTCTCAGTGCCAAGTATTCCAACGTTTTCTGCACACGCTAATAAGGGGGATAGACGGTCATTACTGCTCCGCGATCACCTCCACGAATAGCCTGCTCAATTCGATCATGGGATAGTGCGATACTGGGCGCAGATGCAGCAAGGAGTTCTTTGCCGGTCAAATCTAGAAGCCTAGTTCTTCGTCTCTCTACCAAGGTAATGATACTCGATTGACTGCGTGATCTCGAGTCCTGCGTATCGAGAAATAACAAGCAAAGGAGTGCTGATGACTTTCGATAAGAGCCAATCGGACAACATAGTACTGCGGAGTCATTAGGCGTGCTAAGGACGAACTTGACGATCTGTACGGCGTGTTCTTACTGCACATAGCTCTTTGCTATCGGCCAGTTGACTTCATTGGTTTCGCGCGACGGGCGAATGCTCCACGAATCAGCTGGGTACACGTGGCTTGGCCCGCCTACTCTGCATATGCATGTCTTTGACAGGCAAGGAGTTATCTTTCCAGAGACTGTCCCCTCCCGTCCGTCATATCAAGACTGTAAGCACCGTTTAGGAGACTAAATTGTCCTCACACCCATGGCCGATCAACAAACTATGCCACTCCGTGACAGGTACGGGGAATGGATCTCCGAGGCTTTCGAGAAGAAAGAAGGAGACATGGACGCTGTGAAAGAGCATCGACTCGAAGAAGCTAACAGGCTTGCAAGAGGTGCATTGAATTTGGGGAAAGAGAGGCATAGTTCCCGCACTTTTCGAGGCTTGCAGAAAGTCGATAATGGCAGCAAGAGAACACCATCGGAGCTGCGTACGGGGAGCACAAAGCCGGGGTCGGGCGGATCTGTACCTCTACTTACACCTCCAAGATCTCCAACTAAATCCGGAGTCTCAACGGGAACATCCGTTGCTATTACCCCGGTGGTCGAAATAACAGACTCTCAAGAAGTTGCAGACATTCGCAACTCTCTCCGAAATCATGAGTACGAAATCTTGTCACTTCGAATGCAACTTGAGGATATACGAGCGGAAGTCCAGGATCTCCATAAGCAGTGCCGGAAAGCGTCCGAAGACTATGCAAACGCGGTCTGCAGAGACGATGAAGAGAACCTCAAGAGGTTTGAGAAGCGAGAAGAGAAGCTGAAAAAGCTGCTGGAGCAGAAGAACCAGGCAATTGACGGGCTTCAGGAGGAAATCGTGGAGAAAAAAAGATGTGAGGGAGAACTCAAGGAGAAGCTGGCTGAGGTGGAAGGAAGAGACAAAGCAAGGGAAGCTATGCCGACTCAAGTAGAGAAGACTGTCAGCGATGGCTCTGACACAGTAGAGAAGGGCAATAGGAAGGGGAAGGATACGTCAGTGCGCGCGAAACAGAGAGCGATTGGAAGCTGGGAATTTCGGCGTAAGAAGGGGGAGAATGAGACACCTCTCAGCGCCGGGTACCGGATTTTTCGGGGAACGCTATGAGGGCAAAGGAGGCTTTTCATTTCTCTCCCTGACATCCGGTCAATTTGATACACCGCTCTCCACCCATGCCAAAGGACTATATTTTGGTTAAATAGCATGGCCGGTACAGGCAAATCTACTATTGCTCAGACTATCGCACGCACTCTCACCAAGCAAAAACGGCTTGCCGCGAATTTCATATTCTCAAGAGGCCGCGGCGATCTCAGCGATACCGGTAAATTCTTCAGTATCGTTGCGATTCAATTGGCGGCTACTTCACGAAGGCTAAAACACTACATATGCGAAGCAATCGCCCGAAATGAAGGCATCTCTCGGCAATCTATGCGCGATCAGTGGACGAAGTTGGTTTATCAACCCTTGCTGAAACTAGGAGATCGGTGAAGAGTATCCGAGAAATCTAAAATACAATTCAGGGATTGAGTTGTGAAGACGAATCTTGCCGTTCACGAGGATTCGCAGCAACAATCCTATCATAGCAATTTTGCAATTCATCTTGAAGCTGCTGAAGAGTCTTGTTTTCCCTAAATGCTGCTCTTAACTCCGTTGAGGAAAAGTAGATCTTCGTCACTTCAAGTAAGCGCTCAAAGGGAACCTGAAAACCCCTCGTCAGTCTTCCCTCACTCTGCAGCGAAGCGCGGAAGCCAGTGATCTCAATCATCTCAGGAACGTCCTTCCATTGCTTCATCGTATATTTTCTCCCACCCCGGACGACATGACTGAAGAAACCACAGAGTAACATCTTGACGTGGCTAAAGTATAGATCATTAGACTTAGGAAAGACCTGAGCCAACGAAAGGCTACCCAAAAACCACTACTAGGTATTATCGTGCATCCTATAATCGATCCCTTTTCCTCCATCAAGCACTTTTACTCCAAGTTGTACAAAGCTTTACCCCGGGTCGAGGACATTCATCGAGGAACGAGTGTGGTATAAATAAGACTTGTTCTTCAGCGCAACCCGCACATTATCCTTTTCATCCACACTAAGCACCCGGCACGGTTCTCAGATGCTCTAGTATCTTATGCGCAGCCTCCTCTGGCTTAGTGTCCTCTATGTCCAGCTGATATTCCCAAACATCTGGCTGTTTGAATCCGTCATCATAGAAAGAGTAGACGAAATGATGTTGCCGAATATCTTTGAGGATGTCTGTGTCGGTCAGCCTGGAATTCAGACTTGCTGGGCGTCCAAGCAATCTTCTAGTATTCTCCTCCGGGCTGCAGCGCAAGATGAACACCACAAAAGGTCGGCCACCTTTCACAGCGCCCTCGAAATATTCTTTGAGATCTATCTCACGGTCTTTAAGCGTCTCTTGGTAGTATGTAGTGATGATAGTGCGTTGTCGGAGAGATGGGTTTGAGGCAATACTATTCAACATTGGGGTTCGCTGTGAAGTAGAGACACATCAGCCTGAGAGCAACATCATTATTGCGCACTCGGGACACGCACCAGTGCTTCTCGTAGGTCACGATATCCAGTTTCCTCGCGCTCGAGGAGTGCAGCGACGGGCTCGATGAGCAAATGGCTGGGCAAGAATCGCGAGTCCGCGATCAGAGCTCTGTAATTTCAATCAGCATAACCGTTCCGTGCCGCGCGCTCCGATGCCCGGTGCGAGCTTCTTGTTACTGTAATGCCGAAGCTACTGATGACTTTCCCACACCAGGATAGCCATTCAGTACGATCAATGGTGCCGCATGCATACTGAGCTGGAATTGGTGTCTCAACGATTGATGGTTGTGGAATAAGATTGGTTGGATGTTATCTCACACAATGGGCAACGCTGATATCAATAATAATTCATGAGCTGTTCACGAGTCGGAGATGTACAGATACACGAACCATTCAAAGGCTTTCTTGAGCTTGTTGAAGAGATAAAGATGTGAGGCTCATTCTACAATACGTAGGTAAGGTAGGCATCCATTCGTTTTTGCGGGGCGAACATGATCGTGATGATGAAAACTGATTGGGAAAGGATGGGCGCTAAAGATAAGAGTCCGAGAGTGACTGAAAGATAAGACAGATTTCCATGGTCGAAATCTGTTGTTGCAGCTGTATAGCTTTATACATAGCTATGTACATGGTTCAGTTGGCGCCTCGGAGACCATGGGCATAAGATCGTTGCCGATGAGCTATAGGAGGGACTAATAAGCACCAAAGTATATCCCTTACCATACTACCTAACAAGCCTGACGTCAATTCTAACATTTTACCCCTCGTACATACCTTACATTTTGAATGGACCCTTTGTCGCTTACCGCAAGCGTCATCGCCGTCGCTACCCTCGCCGCTCAAACTTGTAATGCTTTTGCAAAATTGCGCGGACTGCACAAGGCAATTCCTGGAAGACTGCACGCCTTGAACAACGAAGCCGTTGATATCGAATTAGTATTGTACCAAGTAGCCGCTGTTGTTCGAGAACGCGAGTGGCTGCCATCCAGGGATCGCGAGCTAGCGGATATCAAGCACCTTCTGGAGCAGGCCAATACCAAATTGGATGAACTACGAGCAATCGTCAATCGTCTTTGTGACACCTGCATCAATGCCAAGGCTTCCGCTTTCCGAGGCTACAGGTGGCACAAAGAACAGGAGAGGCTGCAAGGTTTGCAGAATGGGATCAACTCGGTCAAGTGCAGCCTCAACATAATTCTAGGCGCTTCTCACTCGTAAGTCAACTCCCTCTTTTTTGCTGAGATGAGTGTTGGCTGACAGTCGAGACAACTGCTAGACGAGACATGGTGCGTGTTCGGGTGGATATTGAAAATATATCCACCGTTACCGCCAATTCTTCTAACCAGCAGACTGCCCTTCGAGATGAATTGGTCCAGCAGTCTAATCTCCACCAGCGGGTGGACCAAAGACTTGGCAGGATAGTTGAGTTGCTGGAAAATCAATCCAATAGATTGCAAGATGGTCGGGCTTCCCAATTAGGCCCTTTTTATCAGGCACCCCTTCCGAACGTACGTCAACGTGGCCCAGCATTGAAACCAAAGAAGTCGTCCCAAGACCCTCCACAGTCGGAGGGTGTCAGTGTGAGGGTCTTGCAGTACGCCTCTACGTGTCGACCCAGATGCCCTTGTTCGTGTCACGAGTACAAAAAATCTGCCTCACCTGCCTTTTTGAACCGTGTGCTTGGGCAGATGTTCATCGGTTATACCGGCCTACCGCTCTTCAGTCCAAAATGTAGCAGCCAGCAATGCCAGAAAGGCCAAATTCCTCGCGTCAGCCTTGAGTATTGGTTTCCACTTGGCTTCTTCTGGTCTCAAATAATCACCGTCCAGGCTGGCTTTTCCCAGAATTTTGGCCCTCAGTTCCAATTGAGAACCCTGAGAAGAGTCCCAGACTCTGCCCCATGCGTCAATTTTGCGTTGGAAGGGAATATCGAAGCGTTGAAAAACTTGTTTGGACGTGGCCTCGCGTCCCCGCAGGACGTGAGTAGCACCCGAGGGTATTCACTTCTTCGAGTAGGTGAAATCCACATTCTCAACAAAAGTCTATTAAGCATTCACGCAGTGGGCTTTGTACGGCAAGCAGAACCAAACATGCCAATTTCTAGTACATGCAGGAGCAGATATCGACTACAAGTTGGTACCCTTGATCTTTCGCCGATTTGCCAAGTCATTAATCCACGTTTCGCAGACCCATATCCGAAAATGACGATAGTCCAAAGAATAAGGCTTGTGATTTCTTGCTCCAAGGTGCTTTGTCGACAGAAGCCGCGGAGCTATTGAGTTGTCTCACCAAATCAGGCGATTTTGTTGAAGAGCAAAATTTCACCAAATTGCATAAGATCGTCCTCGGTCTTTCATTACTCGATCTGGAGAAGGAGGTCCAGCTTTGCGCGGACGAGGTTGACACGACTGATGCCTTAGGCCGTAGTCCTCTGATCTGGGCATCTGCTAGAGGAGACGAACGATCTGTTGCGATACTACTAAGCTACAATGCCGACCCTAATCTTGTGGACTTGCAAAACTCCGGACCCCTAATGTACGCTGCTGCGCAGAACCATGCCGTTTGTGTACGCCTTCTTCTCGAAGCCGGCGCCAACCCAGACCCTACCCTTTTTGGTTTGAAAATGCAAAGAGGCAGTCCGCTCAATTGTGCTGCTCGAATTGCTTCTGATCCTCTAGTCCTCAAGACCCTTCTGGATTTTCGGGCCGACATCGAATCGTGTGGTGCCGAGGGTCGAACCTCACTTCTCCACGCCGCTAATTAAGTTATTGTTAGAAATCTAGAAGTCTTATATATAAGAATTAAAGAGTTAAAAATAGAAAGAATACTCGCTTTCGTCTCTTTATCCGCGTATATTATTATTATCGAAGCCTCTTTATAAAATAAACATTAATTAGACTTTTATAAAAAAATTATTATATTAATAAAATAGATTAAGATTAATTATCTCTTAAATATCGAAGCTTTAATATTAAGCTTCGTAGATATATCTTTTATTAAAGTAAATAAGTTACTTAAAGTAGTACTAATATAATTCTATAGATTATAATTAATCGATAATAAATCTATCTTTATTTCTAATATTATATATATAGTCTTAATAAAACTTATTTTAGAAGATTATATAGAAGAACTTTAATACTTAATTATCTTATTAAGATAATTTAATATTATTCTAGAAATACTATAGCTAGAATAATATAACTCTTATATATTCTTTAGATCTAGAACTATTATACTTAATTTAGATTACTATATATTTAACTATTTATTATATAATAAACTTATTATTATTTAAAGTAATAATAAATTTTTAAAAAAGAACTTAAATTATATAGTAAAGATTATATTTAAAGAAAAGAATATAGTAGAGATCTTCGTCTATACCTTTATTAAGATAACTAAGAAATTAGAGAATTAAGTTATTATTATATAACTTTAAGACTTTAAATAACTTTTTAACTTTATTAATAAGAAAGCGAAGTTTATTACTAACGTTATCGCTATTATAATAAAAGATTATAAGAAGTTCTTTTATAAGCTAAGAAAGAAACCTTCAACTATAAAATAGCTATAGAAATAAGTTTCTATAATATATTATAAATTGTTATAAATCAAGTTATGATGTAAAAAGAAGATATATTCTTACTATCTAGAAATCTACTTTAGTAGAGAATACTCGAAGACGCTAATATATATTTAGCCTAGACTCTTTAAGCCTCTTAGATCTAGTAAAAATAGCTCTATTAGAGACTTCTATAGAAGGCTTTCGTAATGTTATATTAGATATTAATAAAGAAAAAATAAGTTAATATTCTTATTAAGATAGTAGTAGAAATAGACGCTTATAGTAAAAGTCTTTTACTCTAGACTTTAGAAGTTTTCTTTATTAATTCAAAAAACGATTTAATATAGATTACTATCTAATTAGTAAATTCTTATATAATCTTTCTCTTTCTCTTTTAGACGTAGACTATAATATTTATATAGACTATTATACTTATATAGTTCTAATATTCTTATCTATCTTTTATCTAGTAGATAAGATAAATACTAATTTACGTTTATAGTTATTTACTAGCTTTATTATATTAGATAAATTCTCGATTATATATTATATATTATATTTATAATCTTAGTCTTTTTAATATAATAAGTATTTAGACTTTTTATATATAATTTATTTATTTATAATTATTCTAACTTCGAAGTTATCTTTTTTATTATAAACGAATAATAATTTTATATTAACTCTTCTCTTATATAAATTTAAAGCTTCGATTATAATAATAGTAGTTAGCTCTAACTAGGCGATTAATATAATTAAATAAATTCGTATAATTAATAGTAATTTCAATTAATACGCTAAATAATTAATTTTTATTAAGATCTTAAAGAAACTAATACATTATTACGAGAGTTTTTTATTTAAAAAATTTGAAATTAAGTATCTATAGTATAGTCTAAAAAAGATATTATTCTCTTTCTTAAGATTTAGCGCTAAATACTTCATATTATATCTTACTTTTATAATAATAAATAAAAATACTATAGTATTATTTATCTTTTTTCTTTTAATTAAATAAAGCTTATAAAAGACTTTTATAGATATTAAGAAATTTATAAGTAATATATCTATAATATTATTAATTTTAAAATTATAATATAATTTATTAGATATTAAATCTATAATATTACTTAAAAAGTTATTAAAAGTAATCTAAATATATAATAAGATTTTATTTTATTTATTATTAGAATTCGTAGTAAGATAAAAATATAATACTATCTCTATTATTTAATTAATTCGCTTAAATTAATCGTTCGTCTATAAATAATAGACTATAAATGTTAGAAACTTAATATATAATTTATTAAAGATCTTCTTTTAGAAAGTAGATATAAAATGTAGATCGCGATTATTAATAATATATCTTAATATACTCTAATTATACTATAATAACGTATAAAGTACTATTTTAACTTATTAAGTAGTAATCTAAATCTTCTTTCTTAATATTAGAAGATTTCTTTTAATAATCTTATATATAATAATAAGTAAATAGTTATATTCTACTTTAATAAGAGATAAAATAATAATAAAGTTTATAGCTATAGTATAAAAAGAAATAGCTAGAGTAATAATCGAAATAAGAAATTTATATAGCTTATATCTCTTAATTTAATTAAGTTAATACTTAAGATAATATACTATATAGATTTATAAGCTTACTCGAATATCTCTTACTTTATAGAAGATAAAACGTTAAAACGCTATCTATCTTCGTCGTTAATATAATAAATAAGACCTTTTTTTAATATAAATGAAATTTTAAGAATACGCTTTATAGACTCTATTTAAGTAATATTTATAACTATTAAAATAGTAGTAATATTCTCTACTAAAGACTTTAATATCTATAATAATCTTTCTTAATAAGAATTCTTAATATAATCTTACTTTAATCGCTACTTAAAATCGTCTAATATTTTTATAAGAGTAATATAATAGATTACTATTAATTCGATAGACGTAATACTTAAAGACTTCGATTAGTATTTTATACTCTTATAAGTAAAGGCCTATAAATTAAATTCATAGAGTTGAATTTTTCTAAGTTAAATGAAGTTGGATTTTTCTAAGTTAAATGAAATTTTAGCTCTAGCCCTAAGTCAAATCGAACTCTAATCGCTTGCTATGCGTTTTTAATCTACTTCTACCACTACGAAATTAATAAAGAAGATAAAAGCCTTAATCTTAAATTAAACCGAACTCTATTTACTTTCTATGTGATAAATAATTTACTTTTATTACTATAAATTACTAATTAATTATATTCTTATTTAAAAAAAATCTACTTAGTAATCTTATTCTTAATATATCTTTTTAATCGAGTAAGTTATTTTCTTTATAGATTATCTAAGATTATAATTAATAGATTAATCTTACTAATAACTCGACTTAAGGCTATATATAATTAGCTATAAGTAAAGATCTCGAAATATAAATATAGATTAATCTACTATAATAACTAGCTCTAGAACTTATTAATCGTTATATTAAAGACTAATTAAATTAGAAGTTAAATATATTAAAAGAAAGTATATAGATTATTCGAATTAGGCGAAGCTAAAGAGATACGTAATATATAGTATTATTTATTATTATATTCATCTTTAAGAATATAATAATTAAATATCTTAAATTTAATATACTTAATTTATAGATATATTCTATTATATAAATCTATATATTACTCTAAATTTCTTAATAATATTATTATATAATCCTATTTTAACTCTAAATAATAAGATAAAAGCGAGATTAATTTAAAGATATTTATTATTTTAATAGATAGAAGAAAGCTATCTTTCTTATTAATGACTTAATCTCTATTATTATAAATAATCTTAACTCTAGAGAATTTATTAAGAACTTAATTATTAAATTAAATAATATTCTTATTAAGAGTATAAAGAATCGTCTTAAATATATAGAAATTAGCTATTTGATATAGATTAAGATTATTATAAATAGTATTAATTAGTTAAGTAATAAAGTTATCTAATAACTAGTCGATAGATTAATTAATTACTTTTTATTTCTTAAAGCTTATTAAGATACTATTATTTATAACTAATAGTCTTTAAATAAATTTCTCTATATTAATTCGATCTTAATTAATTAAATTAAGGTTTTAGAGCTTTATATTTTCTATTAATTTAAGGATTTAAATATAATTTTAAAGGTAAAACGTTTTTAATATAGTTTAAGCGATGCGATCTAACTTAGTATTCTTAATAATTAAAAGAATTTAATAAAAGTTATTATAGAAGTATATAACTATACTATTAAAAGAAGTAAGATTTTTTTAAATATTTTAGAGTATATAATCGACGGTCTTAATATCGTAGCGATTTTATATAGAGATCTTATTCTAGAAAATAAGCTCGATCGCCTCTAATAACTAAGCTAAATTAGACTCTATTAATATATTATAATTAAATTAAATAATAATATTAAGAGAGATCTTAAAGTGAGAATAAGTAATAATATTATCTTAAAGGAGAATAAAGGTGATATTAGATAAAGTTATAATAATAACTATTTTAGAGTTATTTTATACTCTTCGTAATATAATATTCTAAAGTATAATTTTATTAATATCTTTATAGTTATTAAGAAAAAAGAGTTAATTATTAAAATAAGAGATTATATTTTAAATAGCGTTAATTATAGTAATTTAATTATTATTAAAACTTATTTATATCTAATTCTAAGTATTAATTCGATAGCTATATACTTCGCGTAGAAGTCGATTTTAATTATTAATATAATACTATTTATAATCTTACTAGATCGCGAATAAATTAAAGTTAATAATAAGACTAATATTCTTTATAAAGCTAATATTATTTTTCTTTAAGCGAATTTAAATTAAATAAAGATAGAAGTCTTCGATAATAGCTTATTTATATTATATATTATTTAATAGAGAGAGAGTATAATATTAAGTCTAAAGGATATAAATAAGATTATCAAATAATTTAAATAAAGAATAATAAGTATTAGTTAAGAAATATACGTAAAGTATAAAAGAAGAATTAAATTATTTGCGAGTAAAAAAAGGAAAAATATATCTAATATGAAAAGTTTTAATAGCTAAAAAAAGAATATTATATTAAAAAAAGTTACGATATTTTAAAATTACCGTTAGCGCGATAATCTTTTTATTTTATAATTTAAAGTATTTTAATTTATTA